CAAGGTTTAAGATTTAATTTAATTTAAACAGAATACCGGGGCTTCTATTATAAATGATCCTATTGTCAATGATCCAAAACAAGATGTAACCATTATAGAGCAACTTATAAATTTTAAAAGAAGAATGGATGAATTTGTAGAGGTTTCATTTAATAGCAATTACAATTTCGATCAAGCTTTGAAAGAAGGCTTTGAAACGTTCATTAATAAACGTCAGACTAAACCTGCCGAGCTACTTGGTACTTAAAATAATTTTTTTATTGTATAAATAAAAAAATATACAAATCAAACGATGAAAATATATACAAAAGTTTTTCTTTGATTTTTTCATTTTCAGCCAAATTCATAGATAAAAAGTTGAAAATAGGCAATAAACAAACAAGTGACAGCGAAGTTGAAAGTATATTAAATGATGCGTTAGTTTTATTCAGATATATTCAAGGTATTATTATTTATCTTATACATATTCGTATTTTCATAATTTATTTCATTAAAAATATAAATTATAATTATAGGGAAGGATGTTTTTGAGGGATTCTATAAGCGTGATTTTGCTAAACGTCTTTTAATGAATAAATGTGCATCTGATGATTATGAAAGAAGCATGTTGTTTAAAATGAAAAGAGGTAATTTGAATTTCATATTTTCAAAATTCATTAAATTCATCAAATATATATATATTTATTTATTTATTTATTTATTTATTTATTTATTTATTTTTTATAAAAAAAAGAATGTGGACCAGGTTATACTAGTAATTTGGAACAAATGTTTAAAGATATTCATACTTCACGAGAATTTATGAAAGCCTTCTACGTATGTATGTGTTTTAATCATTATTCTAGTATTAATATTGATAAAGGCTTATTTATCTATCTATCTATCTATCTATCTATCTATCTATATATATACATATATTTCTTTTCGATTAGGATTCTAGATACGGTGATCAACTTCGAGAAGAATTTAAAGTTGATTTGCATGTAAATACTTTGACACAAGGATCCTGGCCTTCATATAATCCGACACCTCTTAATATTCCACTTGAAGTGAGTAGTAAAAAATATTTCAACATTTAATAATTAATAATATATAATAATAAATAAACTCATATTTCTTTTTAAGGTTGCTCAATGTCAACAAATTTACGAGACATTTTATAGAGAAAAGGCCAGGGGAAAAGGATTGAAGTGGTATAATAATTTAGCTTATTGTGTATTATCAGCGTATTATCCAAGTGTAAGTAAGAAACATAAATTTCTTTTTTAATATTTTTAATATTTATTTTTTAATATTTATTTTTTAATATTTATTTATGCAGGGAAACAAGGAATTTGAATGTACCTCATTTCAAGCTGTGACTTTATTAACGTTCAGTGAATTACCACAAACTGAACTACGAACCTTTGAAGAAATTCAACAAGCTACTGGAATGGGTAAGAATTTTAATTTCTTTCAAAGGTAATCTCAGTAATAATCTCTTAAAAGGTTCTTTGTAATATTTTTAATTTTTAGAAACAAAAGAACTTGTACGTACACTTTTAACTTTGGCGTGTGCTAAAGTGAAACTCCTTGTTAAGCATCCAAAAGGAAAGGATCTTAAGCCTACAGATAAATACTCCGTTTGTGACGATTTTAAATTTAAATTATTTCGTATTA